GACATTTACCACAAATTAAAGGTATCTTACATTATTAGATATATTATTATAAAACATGTTTTGTGTTAAGGAGTTATTGATATTTCAAGTGCAAAATGATGATATAAAACCATGATTAAAATGCACTTTTAAGTACTAATCACTTTATATAAAATATAAAATCATGGTCAAATTAAAAGTTAAGTTGCAAGGAAAAAGAAATTTATAGATGCTTTCAATTTTTTTTCTTAATATCAAAAAATATTCTAGTTAGGAAATGAGAATTCAATATCTGTGTTTAATAAAATAAATTGACAATTATATTATATGTGTTGATAAATATTAAAAAAAATACTAATAATAATAAAAAAAACCTCAATGTATAAACTAAATGACAATTGTAGGTTAAGATATATAATATCATATTATGATGAGTCGTTAAATTTTTCTCATGATAATAATTTATCAACAAAACCAATAATCTATATCCTGTTAAAATAAGATGCTATGCTAGTAACATTCTATAACCCAAATAAAGATAATGAATATATAATTTTGTTAAATAATACTCATTACACAAAAACCTAAAAAAACTCAGCAAAACCCCATGGCTCAAAACATAACAAATAATGAATTAGAATAATATTTTAATATTTTACGGGGATATGTTGTATTTTTCACATGATCTATTCGTCATTACCAAAAGCACTTGAACTAATTGGTATTATCATAATTTTTTATATAGTGAAATTACTTAATTATCTTTAAAATAAAAAAAATGAACTTAATTAGATAATCTTTTTTGCGAAACTCTGATTTTTACAATGTTTATTAAAAAAAATATTGAAAATCAAACCCAATGATGAAATGAGTCAACATAAACTTTAGAATGAAAGAAAAATAAATAATTAAAAAAAAATCTTATGAAATAAACTTTTAATTGTGGTATTTTAAAAATGGATCAAAATGAAGTATCCGATTAAATAAGAAATAAAACACACAAGATAAATATAAAAGGTATTATTGCAAATAGCTTAAATTAAGATTATATAAATGGCTGTCTCTTAAGTTATGGCTACAGTTTAACAAGGTAGAAAGGGTTAGGGTTTTTTTTCTTTATTTATTTCATCAAATTCTAAAAAGAAATATGATTTCAAGCCAGATTAAGATACTAATAAGGGGTTTAGAGGATCTAAACTAGAAATCTAAAGATTTTCCTTGAGTTTTAGAACTTAAAAGTGAGAATTTTAGGAATTAGAGGGAGAAAGAAAAGAAGGTGAAGAAAACTTGATTTCTTTTGCAATTACTCTTTGATATCTTGTGTTTGGAAGGTAAAAATCACTTTCACCATTATTGTTTTGATTTTAGCACAAATTGAAGCTTAGTAACATGTAAAATATAAAATATTGAGTTTTATGATTTAGATTACTTGAAATGATGTTTTATTTTTAGAATTATATTCTTAGATATGAAAAACAAATGACTAATATGAGAACTGTGGAGAACTTGAAGAAAATCATGTTTTTCCCATTTGAAATGAGATCTTGGCCTAGACTTAAAAATAGAAAAAAATTGAATTGATTCAAATTGTTTTGAAATTTGTGTTAAATTGTGTTAGGACTGGTAAGAAATGGATGAGTAAGAAATTAATTTTTTTAATAAAAACTAAACTAATATTTGATATGTTGCATAAATCAGTTAACCATTTAGGATTATCAAATGATCTAATCAACCCATTGATAAAATAAATAGTGAAATATATAGAATTATTGAATTAAAAATAATAAATTTTCAACTAAACTTGAATAGATGACATTAAAGAGTAATTTAAATTATGAATTTTGTACTTTAGTTCCTTAATTCATTTATATTGCATGTTAAAATAATTTTCAGGTGCATCTCAATCTCGTGTGGAGCATTTTTATGTTTTTAGTGATGTAATTATAAATTAGTTAAATTTTCCTTTTATATTATTATTTTGTCATTAATGCTTGTAATGTAAAATAAACTAGATTTAATTTACTTAAAATTTACCTTTTGAATTTTATATGTTAAGTTTGAATTTGATAAGATATTTTTGTATCCCTTAGGTTAAAAGAAAAATATATGTTATTAACTTATTTTAATCTTTAGGATTTAATTATGCTTTTTATATTGATGAAGTCCTTTTAATGTGGAAAAATCTTGGGTCATTGAAGAGAATGTAAATAATGTTGTTATTTTATAAATGTTTAAGAATGTTGAACTGAAATTTTATATTAATTGTGTGGATTTATAGTAATGTTGAAAACTTGATATGTTTAAAAACAAGGTAAACTCTTTTAAATTTATGGCGAGGACCGATGGTGTGTGTGTATGTATATGTGTTTATATGTATTGTTGATGATTAAAAAATGTAGACGTGTTTTAAAGCAGGGGAAGTTACATTTTTTATCTTTTCAAAATTTTTTGCATGGTTAAATGACCTATTTACCTTTAAAATAAATAAAGGTTGTCTTTCAATGGTATTTTCATATTTTTATTATGATTTTTTATTTTCTGTAATATTGAAGTTCACTTAGGGATTGCTTGGTAATTTAAAATATATAAAAATTAATAAAACAAAACTCTATCGAATTTACAGTGGGGATCAATGATGTGTGTGTGTGTTATAATTTTTCTATGTATTCTTAATGATTAAAAAATCTGAACATGTCTTAAAAAAGGGGATGTTATATTTTTTTGTCTTTTCAAACTTTTTTGCATAGTTAAATGAAATATTTGCCATTAATACAACTAAAGGTTGTCTTCCAATGGCATTTTCATCTTTTTATTATGAGTTTTTCTTTTTTTATAATATTGAAGTTAACTTAAGGGTTGCTTGGTGATTTAAAAAATATAAAAATTATTAATAATAAAAAGTTTGATACAACGTCTGCATGTGAATACCTCTAAGCCTTTTTAATAATAGTTATAAAGTTGTTTGGTGACCAAACATCACCTTTTACATCGGTGTTTTAATTGTTTCAATGACCCTTTCATTCTGTTGTAGTGTGTGTGGTCAACATGTCTCGAGTTTTGTATTGGTGATTTTTTTTTTGTTTCTTTGCTCTTTCTTTCCATCTTGAATTTTCTGCCTCGCCTTTTAAAATTTTAAGTCAAACTAATTGTTTTCTCTTTTAGATTTAGTCCCTACTCTTTTCATTTTTATTTGTTTTATATGAATTAATTTATCAAATTTGATTTTTTTAATTTCATCTTTCTTTAATTTTTTCATGTGTCAAATTTGATGTCTATTTTTTTATTGCTATTTTGTTTTTGTTTGAGATAGTTTTTTAAATTGATTTTGTTTGTGATTTTTTCCACCTATATCTTTTTCCTTTTAAATTTGATCATTATTTTTTATTGCTATTTTTATTTTACTTTAGCAAGTTTTTGAATTTGATATTTTTCTCTAGTTTCATCATTCAACATTAAATTAGTTGAGAATTGAGTTTCATGATTGAGTTCAGATCTAGCAAATTATGAGTTTGGAAGATTAACTTAGTTCTAGAGATTCAATTGATTCTTGTTTTTTTTTTTTTTCAAACTCATGTATTTTTAATTTCATTCTTGAGCATTCATTTGATTTTAGATTGGGCTTTGTTATTTATTTTTATTTGTTATTTATTAAATTTTTTATTTTGAAAATAATTCTGATTATCTCGCCCTTTAATATTGAATTATTTAATAATTAAGCTTTATAGTTTTATTTAAATTTTTTTGCTGAGATTACCTTTATTTAACAAAAAGTTTGTTCATTGTCAATTTATTTATTATTATAGTGATTTTTAGTTGTGTTATTAAATTAGCCAAACTTATTAAATTAAGTTATCTCAATAACTTGTTTCTCAATTTTATTTTATTTTTTATTTAAAAAAAACGTACGTTGTCTTAACATTTTATTTTTACGTGGAAAATAAATTGGATCTGCTGAGACACTGCGCAGATAAGCAATCTGGCTACATATAATGGTCGTCATTTGAAACTAAAGCTTGAAATCCAATAGCGCAAAACTTTATCATTTGAAAAATCATATTACTTCTGAAAACACTGCTGGTTCGCGGATCATACCAAATTGGTTTTGCTTTCTTTGAAAAAATTTAGTGGGCGTCACTATTACTGCATTTCTTCCTCAACCTCAACACATGTAGCTACCTGGCTCTGCATTAAGTGGCAAGCTGACGGAAAAGTCAGACTTCTATTCCTGTGAAGTTGTGCTTTGGAGCTTATAACTGGGATCCACCTATCAGTACTACAGAATCAGTGATGAATGAGAGCCTGGTTGCCTGGGTGAGTTCCCTCTTCATGGTTTTTGAATCTATTTTTCAAGTTCTAGACATGCCTCTTAGTTACTTTATGCTTGAGACCTCGTCGAAACTCCGTCCCGCTTTATGGGCGTTACAGGCTAGGCCTCTACTCATCCAAGCTCTGGAAGATGGAAGTTTTGAAGCTCTTGTCGATCCATGACTGGGCACAAATTATAATAACAGTGAGATAGCTAGCATGGTTGCTTGTGCTGCTGCTTGTGTGCACCCTTCATCCTGGATCCGACCAAGAATGAGCCAGGCAACTCTTCTTAACTTTCCTTTGCTTTATCATGTCCAATATATCATAATTACACCTCCAGCCAACTAATAACGTGGTTCTGAGCATAAATTGCCTTCCTAAAGATTCAAGAAACTATACGAAAACCAAACAAAGAAAACTTATCGCAGATGACTTACCACTAAGTAATCATTACTTGGTTGTTATATGGAACTAAATGTTGCTGAGATTCTGTTTGATGGGTACTGAAAGAAGAAGCAAACATACTATGATGCTTCCAAAATGTTAGGAATTTGTTTTGAATCAAACAGATAGTTCGTGCTTTGTAAGGCGGAAAGTCCGCTGATGATGATCTCAAAGCAGGAATATTGAGGCCTCCACAGCATAATGCATGGTTCTTCAAGAAGTTCAAGTTGCAGTACCTACCAATACGAGGAGCATGAAGATTTTCAACATGGCCAGGGGCAGGAGGTAGGATGGCATCAATTGTTACACTGGAACCACCAACGAGTGTGAACCCAACCAGCTCAAGTAATGATGTTAGAGCTAAATTATTTGATTTTAATGACTGATGTAATGTCCATTTTTTTTGTTGATTCTTAAACTATCAAATTTGAGCCTCCTTTTTAGAAGACAGTCATGCTGATTCCATTGCTAAACATACAGCTTAGTAATGCCATGCATATATTGATTACTGTCATACATGTCCTTCACGAGCCTGGGCATGAACTATTACTGTTATACATGTCCTTCACGAGCCTGGGCATGAACTACTGGGAGAACAAGGCGGTGGTTCATGTACTGTGCAGCAAGACTCGACAGAGACATCAAAGTGCAACTGGCATTTCGCTAATGATGTGGGAAACCGCATTGTTTTTTTGTCAAATTACATTAAAACAAAAGAAAATGAAGAAGATCAAAATTGGCCATCTGCCCATGCAGCAGATCGTAAGAAGCTTTGGTCGACAACCTCTGTGCTGCTTCAGCTTTCACTCGTTCCATATAAGAACTAGTAGGCCGCCCTAAAACTAGTTGCACATACATCTGCTAATTCATTTGCACGTTCTTGAACAATATGTTTGGTGGTACATGGAAACTGCAATTTGCATAATGCTCTGCAAAACAGTGTCCTGTTGCATTGCGCATTCAATTGGTTTTGGCATAAACATTAATTACAACAGAATAAGAAGAAAAATGGAATGTGGGATATAATTAAGAGTGCCTCAAATACACTTTCGAGCAATGCTTCGTTTGGTACCTGGCATTTTCTTTGAAAGTTCAGACTCCAGAAACATGTTGGGAACAGAAATGAAAACCCATTTCACCCAAAAAATTAAACTGGATAGTCATGTTTTCCATAATTTGCAAATGTTAATTTACTGAAGATCCCAGCACCAGGGAAGCCACGAAAATTGAACCTATCAACTTCAGTTTCTAAAGATATCATCTGAGACGTAGTTAAATCTCAAACAACTAACCAAAAAAGACTTGATGACATCTTCATTTTTTAGGGGGGGGGGGGGGGGGGGGGGAAAAAATCAAATAGTGTTGGGAAACAATCAATACAAAGTTCCTTGTATTTGAAGCAAGGAAAAAGAGTAATTCTATGACTTTTCTAGATTTCTCCCATAAAAAATAGAAGTTGCCAATTCAGCCTTCTTTGATTTTTTCCAGTTTCTAACCTTGTTCCCTTACCTGTGTATGCACTATGATTACCATGGCCCGGAATGAAACATTAAGTTGAGACAGTAAATCATCCACCTGTATCTTTTTTCTCCATGCCAGACAGAAGAGATATTAACCATTGCTTCCAAGGAGCATCCTCTTGCTGCTCAAGCCACGATAGAAAACAACTATCTAACAAGCAGAAGAAGTTGACGTACAAAAGTTGATACCTCACTGGTACAAATCGGAAATTTCCAACTTGAACAATTGGCCAAATACCTCCTTCCAAAATAAGAGCTGGTACAAAGTCCCTCTTCAAATCTTCCTTGATTTGAGGAACACTCTTTCCAGATGCAAAACCCATGTAAGAGAAAAATACAAGCAGATCCAGTGGTCCAAAGATAATACCATCAAGTGCTACTTTAGCACCAACAAACCGCAAGGAATTTGGATGCAGTAAAACTCGTGACCTTATAAATTGGTCTAAACTTTCATACCTGCAACAGTTTAACAAGAAACAAATGAAATATGACCTGCACACCTCTGTATAAGAGTACCACTTGCAATTCCATCAATTAAAAATCATTTGATCCTGGTAGTGGAGTGCTAACTCCACGATCCATGATTTTCAAAATAAGTTTTTCAAAAAATATTTTCCATTCAATTTCAAAAATAAAATGTATGGATGAAAATGACAGAAAACACTCACCAGAAGTGGCCAACAGGTCCAACAAATGCAAAACCAAACAAGCTCGTGGTCGTTACTCGTTTCCAATTGATCTTTAATTCTTTCTTCTCTTCCTGACATGTGAAATAGAAATCAATTAACAGTGAAGTAGTGGAAATAACTTTCAAGGGCTCCACAAGCTTCTCTTTTCTTATAAATAAAAGTTTAGCATTGCAAACACTTTCCAGCATGGCAAATCACTAGCTTCTATTCAACACGTTCTTTTAATCCCAGAACAATCAAGTTTGCCATTTGTATAAAATCATATGCAATTCAAGGATCAGGTTTACCAAAAGCTGCATATTCAATAATGCAGAATTATCATTAATAGCAAATTCAGAAGAGGGCAAAATCAAGCAATCAACATACAATAGGATGATACAACACAAGACCCAAATAACAGAAAACAAGCAGAAATTTGGAGTGCTAGGATTAAACCATGTGGTGGAGCCACCTCCAATAGCCAGGTAAATGGAGATTGAAATACCCAGATTTCAGTTCAAAGACACGCAGTTTGAGACATTATTAAGCAATTTTTGTCCTTCAGTAAACACTTCATCAAACACAAAAGAACTGTCCAGATCAGATTAAATAATGTGATCCCCCTGAATGCCAAATTGCTACTAATTCCATTGATGGTAAACATCACGATGTCACCACCCAAGGACCACTAAAGGGTGCAGCTATGAGGGGTGGCTACTTTGTCAATGACCATGAGTGAATCAAAGATGATGAAGAAAGACTGAAGATTCCAGTGTACTCTTTGCAAGGAACCTATTTATGAAACCATTTATGAAGAACATGTTGGGGTTCTACAGTTTCACACAACAAGCACACCATGGTGAGACAATTTAAGAAAACATTTACAAAGAGCATGAAGGCAATGAAATTGTTAAGCTATCAATTTCTAATAATAAGAACAATAACTTGTTACATGGGATTCCAAGGAGTAACCAGATGATATAGTCAAGATCCACTTGTATTGATTTAAAATGAGTATGAAGATGATGAAGAACAAGAGTAATATCTCCTCTGAGCACTTGCGAGTTGCTCACCATGGGACACCATCAAAGAAACTAGTCAGTAGTGCTGGCTAATCTACTGAGAAGGTCTGAGAATCAAATCCAACATACATGTCGATTTGCTTGTAGAATATATAACCTGGAGTTGTAAGAGGCTGTTCCTCTGTAGCTCAAATAGAAGTACTACAAGTATGTCAATATAAAGGATTTGAACATCCTCCATCCAGCAAAATGCTCACCACAGTTCAAGAGCATATATCATAATCTAAACTTAGATAGAGATGATAATGATTATGATGATAGTATATCCTTCATCATTACTCGAAGCAAACTAGATGATGCTGATTCTGTGCTTTCTCAAACATTCGAAAACAGTCGTTCCCCAGCATAACTCTTTAACAAATGAATAATAAAACAAGGTGGCTTCATCTTCAATAAAAATGAATCTATCATGTTCTAGATTGTAATGGTAAACATGAAAGAAAAGTTCAATCATGGACATCAACAGAAAACATATTGGAAACCCTTTTTCCCTTGGAATCACAAGAGGAACTGGTTGATTTCAGGGGTTTCACCTGAATGAGGAACTAATTTATTTCTCAAAAACCAAAAATGCAAATGCCAAATCAATAGACAACATTTTCATGTATTACATCCCATATAAAAGGTGAGATTTATAGTCTATCCTCATTTTATTCAACTGATGAAGTACAATAAACAGATAAAAGAAACAAAAAAACAAAATGGCACATACCCATTTGCCTCAAACATTAAATACAACCATACACACATAGAGAAAAACCATATAGAATGACAAAAACTTGAGAAATACTCATTTTCCAAAACTAAACGCAAAGTGCCAGATAGACAAAATATAACAAAAAACCATCATATAAAAAATGGGATTTTCTTGAATGATAGGTCATGCTTGTAAGTACCTTAATTTGACGATATTTCTCGGCTGTATAGTGAGATATGGACTGTGCAGCTATATCACCAAAACCCCAGATCACTCCTGAGCTAATCATCTGTGTCTTGACTGGATGCACAGCCAAGCAATTCTGGTACCATTTCCACAACTTCAACATATCTCCCTATGTATTTTCTTTTAGAGAGATTTTTTTATTAAAAAAAGGATTTCTTCTACAAGTGAATAGTCAAAAGGGTTTCTTTTTAATCTAATTTTTAGCTATAAAATTGGATGCGCTCCTCATTCTCTTGTTTTTCTTTCCCGAGATCTCCGGGAAAATTAGGATTACCCTATTTTCCGGGAAGGGACAAAAATGACCTAGTTCCTGCATTATGTGGTTGTACTAGTGTCCTGGTGGACTGCCACTACCTGGGAAACGCCTATGTTGTGGAAAGCTGTACCTTTTAATTTGGCCAAGGGCTGTATGGGCTTTTCATATTGCTGTGGTAGGAACTTGGTTGGGTTGGGTTTAGGCATCCAATTTAATTTGAACTAATTGATACTTAGCCAACCTGGATGAACCCGAAACCCCACTCAAATCTAACTGAAAATATATAGCTATATTATATTCATCCATTCAATTTTTTAATATATATCTAATACTTTAGGGAAAACATTATGCATGTACTATGTTCCTGGCCCCGTTATACTATGGATCACATTACATATATAAAGTATTTACACTATAAAAGGTGTTGTTTTTACAATTTCTAGTTAAAAAATATTGTTGAGGAATTATCTTTTTTATTTTCTATATTAAAAGTTGTTGAATTAAATTGCAAATCATTTTAAAAAGATATTAAGTCTGACTTAGCGATCATATTCAATATTATTGGATTCAGTTTTCAGTTATACCTAGCAATGCTATTAAGTTTGGTTGGATTGCCAGATATTTTCAATATTATATTTTTATCTAGTTAGATTTTTTTTTTGAATCTCTTATTTAATATTTTTTTATATATAGTAAAGAGAGAAAAATTTGATGAAACTTTTTTTTACCTCCAACAAGGCTTAATGACATTGGATCCTATTGTCCAGCTGGATCAAATAGCGTTGAGTCATGCTTTCAGTAGGATTCAATAGTGTTAAGTCCTGCTGACTGTGGACATAGACTCATTGTAATGTTAACCACACTATAAATATAAAGTGTTTGTACTACGGACGACACTATAGTACTAGGAGATGTTGTTTTTTGTGTTTTTTAGTTAAAAAATACTATTGAGTTTGGCTTGGTAGAATCCAACAATATTGGAACCTATTTCCCAGTAAAACCTAATTGTTTGGGGTCCTACGACCTGGCAGAACTCAATAGTGTTGGATCCGACTATCTTGCCAAAACCATTAGCTTTTGAACTTCTTAGTTGTCATGTCAATATTATTAGGTTTAGCTTTGTTGTCAGATCCCATACTATTTTGAGTCTAACTTAATCCCTATGTCTAAGACACTTAATATATTTTCTATATCTGTTATATTTTTTTAATTTCTATACATAGAGCACATATTTTACTAATTAAAGTTTAGATAAGTTGTGCTTAATACTCAAATATTGATAAATATACTACATTATGGATGGATATTGATTTGATAATATCTTATAAAAGGTGTAAACAAACTAACTTTTAAGAAAATATTGGAAATTAATTTAGGATCTGATGAGAGGATGTCAAAGAAACATGAAGCATTATTAATATATTTTGTTTGAAATATTTTTATAAATAGTTTCAGAACAATATTCTAAAATTTATAATGCTTTCATGCATTTCAGATTCCACATGCTAAATTATGAAAGCTGAATTATTAGATAGGGGACATTTTAAGTTAAATACAGACATTTTGGGTGGATCTTATAAAACTTAATCTGTCACCTAAAGAGCATTTTGAATTAATCTAGTCATGAAAATTATATTTGTGTATGTTGTGTAATTTATCTTAGTTATATAAAGATAAAACATAAGCCATTTTGATTGGTATTAAAATTATAATAATTACAATTACATTTTTAAAAAATAAAACAAAACTAATTTTTACCCTAATTCTAAAAAAAAAAACCCTATGAATAACACTATATATTCTATATCTTTTTATCTTTAAATTTTTTATTTGTTATTGAATTCTTGCACTTTATGTGTTGCATCTATTTATATAATATATTGTTTTTATTTGCATTTTATCATATATGTGAAGTCTTCAAAGCATTGTGTCTGTAAATTAAACATTTATGAGATTAATAATTTATTATTGAAAAAACTCATGATAACAAGAACCAAAATTAAAAAAATAAAATTAGACATTTCAATTTTTAATATTTAAGAGGCATGAAAAGCTATAGTTCGTCCGTGAAGTTTCAAGGTATTTGATCCTTATTATTTGAGGATTTTATATTTAGATTATAAATTTTATTTTGTTTGCATTTTCATCCATATATGTTGAGAAATAAGAGAGAAAGTTATTAAAAAAAAAGAGAGAGAGAAAATATTTAGTCAATCACATTCTACTAATAAAAAAGACTAATTTTAATATTAATATGTTTGTCTTAAAGTATGAAGTTCAACGGAGGAGATTGGAATTTTCATCTTATAATAAAAAAATAATTTGTTTTTTTTACTCATTTCATGATATTTTGCATTTAACATGTGTTTATTTTAGTTGTTATGATCTTTTTATAGGTGTTTTTAGTTAAGAATAAGTTCAAAAATAAATTTCTAAGATCTAAGAATGAAACCCTAAATTGATGGTTGAAATTTAAATTAAATAAAGACATGTTTGTTTTATTAAAAAATTTGAATAGATAATATGTGAACTTGATTTTTTTTTTTTAAAGGGGTCATTACCAATCCTTATAGGCCCAAAAAAAAAGGGGTCATTACCAATCCTTATAGGCCCAACATCTAATCTCTTTTTAATTATATTTCTATAATTTTCTATTTAAAATCAATATGAATGATATAATTAAAATGATATTTAAAACATTATCCAAATTTTCTAAATTTTTAAAATAAGATTATATTTTTTATAATAATATTTTACAATTACTTTGTGAATTTTTATATATGAACCTAATATAAAGATTTTATAAAACAAAATATGCTCATGGATATTAAATGAGAATAAGATATATATATATTTTTTTTTATTGTAAATACTTTTAGATTAATTATTCTTTTATTTTACAAAAAAAAATTATAATAATATTTATTTTTCTCTCTTATTGCATACAAATTATCGAGTCATGATTTTTCTATTTTTTTTAATTAAAGCTTGCTTTTCTAATTATGATAAGTTTCTATTAAGAAAAAAGACTCTCATAAAATAAAACATATTTTCCTAAAAAAATAAATAAATGAACAAGGAAATGAAGTTTTGATAAAGAGATGCATTTTATACTCCTTAATTCAAACTATTTATGTTTTATAAATATTTATTTTAATATATTTTAATTCTTTATTAAAAAAACTTGATACATATAAAAAAATATGTTTTTTATAAAAAATATATATTAATAAAAATTAAAAATTCACCTAATAAAATATATTTTTTAGAGAATTTAAATCTTTATGTTTTTAGCAAATATTTATTTACATTATAACATAACTAAATAAAAATTAATTTATATCACATGTCCAAAAACTAGCATAAAAACTATTTAAGGTTCAAATACAGTCTAGCTTGATTTAACTAATTTATAAAAATTTATATTTTTGCTTGACTCCGCTTGATATTAGCTCAAGGATTAAAATTGTAATAAGTTAGTTAATAGCATGTAAAAAAATTAGTTGGACCTAAAATAGATAGCCCAACCTAGTCTAATTTTAGGTCAGTTAAACCTTCTCTTAAATTGGCTTAAAAAGATTAATTTTAATCACACTCAAATTTTGTTTTAAACTAGCTCAATTAAGGATTACATATAAAATAAATTAAGAAGTTACTATATAGAGAGAAACTCAAGCAAGAAAAAATAGAAATACATGTAGGTGTGAAAGTCGAGGTAAAAAAAAAGAGAAAAGAAAAAGGAAAAGAAAGAAGAAGAAACGAGCCACCAAAGTTATATTTTGCGTTTACTATATACATGCATCACACCACTAAAAAAGCTCTTACCAAGATGACTCAAATGACATTGAAAGTTATTATTAGAGCTTCAACCACGCTGTACACACCACTAAAAAACAATGCATTTCTTTGATACTATTAGGTGTGATACATATTTTATATATAAAAAATTTTCTCCTTTTATTTTGGTATTTGATTCTCTAATAACTCTTTAATTTAGTACTGAACCAACATAACTTAACCCTCTCTAATCCTTGTTTAATCTATCATCATCCTGAACTCAATTGAGGGTGAAAAAGATTAAAAAAAGAAAAGAAAAGAAAGAAAAGGTTATAACCAAACCTTATACCTAACCTAATAGAGGGAAGAGAAGAGAATGAGAGTGGAGAAAAAGCTAGGATAAACCTGACCTAACTAGAACTACACCTAGCCTAATTAAAGGTGGAGAAGTGAAAAGGAGGAGGAAAAAATTCTAGGGTCAACCAGAACAAGCCTAATTGAGCCCTCATATAAGCTAGCCTAACTAAAGCTTTCTTTAAGTAAGCCTAACTTGACTCTTATACAAATATTGTTGCTTGTACTAGCTACCATCTTTAGCCAATAATTGTCTCTCTTAAATTGTCTTAAACTAATCTTTACATTAATGAGTATATCTAAATTTAACTTTGTGCCAAGTCTCTTGACTTAACTAATTTTTTTACCAATAACTATCATAATACTGACTCTGCATCAACTCTCCTAACCTGACCATCGTTTTAACCAATTACTTACTCTTAACCACCACTTTTTTTTTTTATTAATGACTATTGTAATCATGAATTTGCATCAACTCTTTTGACTTGATTATCTTTTTCACCAATTACTTACTCTCAAACACCAATTTTTTTACCACTGACTATCTTAATCATGAATTCACATCAACTCGCTTGACCTAACCATCATTTTCACTAATGACCTTCTTTTAAACATCAAAATACCCACTAATAACAAGTGTGGCACACCAACTAATATCTTAACTTTTTAAGAAAACATATATTTATTATCATTTCTTCACACAAACTAATAAGCTTATGTGACATGAGATATCTATAAATACCTTAGGTCAATAGGTAAAAGGATGGATTAGAACAAGTTAAAAAAAGATCAGTTGACCCCATTACTCTTTTGTTCCACACACATTCTCAATACACAAACATTTCACATCTCCTACATTTACAAACTTAAATTTTAGAGGATCCTCTATTTTGATAAAGAACTTGTTTTGTATTATTCACTAGCC